CAGAGGTAGTGTAGATGGCACAGGTTAAGGCAAGGTTCGGATCTGGACATAGAGTTGCTTTGAGTTGTAGGAAGTAGCTTGATAGCATCCAAACAACCTTAATAACAGGACAGTGATTCAAAGGTATTGAAAATAGGATTTGTTTCTTCAATGAACAATAAGAGGCCAGGATCCCCAGAGCTCAGGGAATGAACTGAAGAGTATTATAAAGGTGACACCACCAGGGAATCAGGGGCTAATGACATAATACTGGAAGAACCTGGATTTTTCTTTTTTGTAGTTTCAGAAAAAGAATTGAAGATTTTATACAGAAAAATGGCAGTCTAAGAGGGGAGACAAATATTTACAGCAAAAGAGATACTTTGAAGTGTTAAATGATGGATGAGTTCTCCTTTCTTGAGAAATTATATTTAAGCTGTGACCTGAAGTATGAATTGATTATAGAAACAACATGGAGAAGAATATTCTAGATTGACAAATAGCATGAAATCAGTCTTAGAAGGAATTTAGCATAAGAATCTGACAGAAAGGTGGCTCGGCTGTCAGTTTAAGGAGATGGGACTTGGAGTGGCACGAGTTGAAAGAGAGCTTGGCAGTGAATTAGAAATGAATAAATTCTGTGCAGGATTTAATTATTAATGTGGCATCAGGATTGGAGGAAGACTCATGAACAGTCTGCGGTATGCAGATGACACAACCCTGCTTGCTGAAACTGAGGAGGACCTGACGCACTTGCTGTGGAAGGTTAGGGACTGCAGTCTTCAGTATGGATTGAGACTCAATATCAAGAAAACAAAGATTCTCACCACTGGGCCAGTTGGCAGCATCATGATGGATGGTGAGGAGATTCAGATTATTCATAGTTTTGGTTTGCTTGGCTCCATAGTCAACACTCATGGTACCAGTAGCCAGGAATTAAAAGACATATTGCAGTGGAAAGTCTGCAATTAGAGATGTCTATAAAGTACTGGAGTGCAATGATGTCAGACTGGAGACTAGGGTGCGCCTGATACATGTCATGGTCTTTGCAGTCACTTGCTATACATCAGAGAGCTGGACAATGACTAGGGATGATAGAAGGAGAATCGATGCCTTTGAGCTGTGGTGTTGGAGAAGAGTATTGAATATACCATGGATTGCTAAGAAAATGAACAGTTTTGTACTGGAGATGGTGAAGCCAGGTTGCTCCTTGGAAGCAAGGATTCTGAAGCTTCGTCTGACATACTTTGGGTATGTTGCAAGGAGGGACCAGTCCTTGGAAGGGATATCATGCTTGGGAGGGTGGAGGGACAGCACAGGAGAGGAAGACCATCGATGAGATGGATTGATTCAGTGACTGGGGAAATGGGGGTAGGTGTGTTGGAGATGGTGGAATTGGCAACAGGATAGGGCAGAGTTTAGGGCTGTTGTACATAGGGTTGCTATGAGTAGCAGGCGACTCGATGGCACATAACAACAATAACTTTAAGAATAAGAGTAACTTATTAAAATATGCATTTAAGGGCATAATTTGGTAATCTCCTAAACACTACGATTCAATTCTGGCCCCAAGGCAATGAATTTGAGGTTTATTTTTAACTCTGACATTGGATTCAAGGAGGGCACTGAAGTTTAATGGAGCGAGACCAGGGAGGACACTAGTACCACAGTCTAGGGTAAGATAAAGTGCTAGTGTTGAGAGAACAAGGTTGGTATCAGTGAAGATTCTGAGATGAGCATAAACTTTAAGAACTTGATTATATTAAAAGGATAAGAAAAGATGTGCCACGGATAGCTCCCAAGTTCTGCTTGAGCAAATGGATGAGTAGTAATATTGGTACATAGCTACACTTACTACAGAAATTCACTGTAGAGTTTTGGTGTTCCAGGGGGTAAAGAAAAGATTCTCCTGTGGAATTGATTATTTTAAAATTTAATAGCAAATACTATGATATTTCCAACCATCTAGGCACTCTGGTTCCAGAGTTCATGGTCAGGCTTGGAAGCTTTTTTTTTTTTTTCCTTTTTACTTAATAACTATTTTACTGAGATAGCAAAAATTATACTTTTTAATTGTATAAAACAATGGCTTTTAGTATGTTCATGGAATTGAGCAACCATAAATGTCATAACATTTTCATCACCTCCAAAAGAAATACTGTGCATGTTAGCAATTGCTATACCTTTCCCTCTCACCTAACTCTCAGTACCTAGCACCTGGCTCTGATGGCCTAGTAGGAAGACTGACAGCCCAGAGGCACGTGGTTTGAATTCACCAGCTGCTCTGAGGAAAAGGCAGTCTCCTCCCCTGTGATTCACTGCCTCTGAAAACCTGCTGGAGAGTTAGCGATGAGTCGGTTTGGACTCAACAGCACATAACAGCATTTCTAATGTATTTGCCTATTCATGTAAGAAGAGTCTTTTGTGACCAGATTGTTTATCATGTTTTCAAAGTTCTTTTATGTTCTAGCATATATTGGTTCGTTCTTTTTAACTATGGTAACTATATAATAAAACATTAGCCATTTCAACATTTTGTACGTGTGGCGTTTGATGACAGTTATATTTGTGTTGAACATAGAAGCTTTTATTCACAGAATTTGCATCATTTTTAATTTTTCTAATTATATATTAACTTGTTATGTGCTGTTGGGTCACTTGTGACTCATAACGATCCTATGTACAACAGCCCTAAGCCCTGTTCTATCCTGTGCCAATCGCACTGCCTCTAACACACCCATCCCAGTTACCCCAGTCACTGAATCAGTCCACCTCATAGAGGGTCTTCCCCTCCTATGCTGTCCTTCCACCCTCCCAAGCATGATGTCCCTCTCCAAGGACATCATGATGTCCCTCCTTACAACAGGTCCAACATGTCAGACGAAACCCCAGAATCCTTGCCTCCAAGGAGCAGCCTGGTTTAACCCTCTCCAGGACGGATCTGTTTGTTTTCTTAGCAGTCCATGGTATATTCGATACTCTTCTCCAGCACCACAGCTCAAAGGCATCAATTCTCCTTATTAATGGAAAATTTAATTATCCTGTACCTTTTATCTCATGCATTCAAATAGCCCAATACTCTGGTATATTGATGAACCATTGAAACAATCATTGGTAATGTCTACTTTGTTACTAAATGTTGTTGTTGTTATGTGCCATCGAGTCGCTTGCAACTCATAGTGATCCTATGTACAAGAATCCTAAATGCCGTTCTATCCTGTGCCAACCTCACTGTCTCAAACACACTCATTCCCACCACTCTACTCACAGAATCGATCCATCTCATGGAGGGTCTTCCCCTCCTGCACTGTCTCTCCACTCTCCCAAACATGATGTCCCTAGGCTTTTTTAATTATACTAGTTTATGTACAAATAAATAGGCTTTTTACTTTCAAGATTATTCTCTGAAGTTGCTTGTTTTTTTATGTTGTGTATAATACTGATTTGTAGCATATTTTAGATGCTGTTGTTGATTTTGCTTTGTACAGTTAATGTGCCTTGTGAACATGAAAGTAAAGTTTTTGAAATAAAGGTCTTTGCAAATTCTGATGAGCTAGATGCTTCTTTCTGTAAAGAGATTAAAATTCCATTAATGTAGCTATATCTTTGCTCTGAGAATAGTGCTAACAGGTATTGTTGCACTATTGACTCTTATCTGGGAGAAGAGAGAATCATTACATTAAACACACGAATATGTAATGTCTCCTACATTGGATGCTAATACTGAATAGACAGACCTAGTGAGGGTCTCTTAAATTTTGATGTGAGAAAATAAGGTTGTAGAAATAATTTGTTGCTATACCCTCAATGAGATGGATTGATTCTGTGATTGGGATGATGGGAATGAGTGTGTCAGAGACAGCGAGGTTGGTACAGGATAGAACGATGTTTAGGGCTTTTGTACATAGGGTCACTATGAGTCACAAGTGACTTGATGGCACATAACAACAACAATAGGATCAAGCAGTCGGTAGATAAAGAAGCCAGGGAAGGTACATGTAGGTATATTTTTTAAAATATAAGGCAGATCCATAAGTATTGTATTGGGAATTTGCTTCTTCTGTCTGTTTTTCCATAATATTCTTTCTGTAAAGGTTGTCTTATTTTGATAAAGAAAACTGTTAAATATGGCTGTTCTTGAGAACTATATAATCTTGAGATGGTTGACTGTGGCTAGTGAGATAAAGCCCCACAGAAAGGTGAAATTTGAAGATATAACTCTTAGCACCGTTCTTGTGTCTTTGGTTTGCTTTAATAAGAAAAGGCACTTTTACAATGTTTCACAGTTTACTTCATTTCATACACTTGGGTCCTCTTACCAAAAGTGGCCTATCCCCATCATTGTTGTAGAGGACCTTCAAAAAAGAGGAAGACCCTTAATGAGATGAATTGGCACATTGGCAGCAGCGGTGGGTTAAGCACAGCAGAGGTGCGGATGAGTCAGAATTGAGCAGGACTGCTAGGAGTTGGGTTAACTTGATGGCACCTGACAATAGTAACATGCATGTTGCTTTTATTAAATTAGGAACTTTTTGGAAAATTTTATTGTAGGGGTTTTTTAGGACCCTACTTTTCCCATTTAATTTCCAGAGTGAAAAAGTAAGTAACGTTCATAATGCATATGTTTCAGTCTTTGCAAAGATGAGTAATTTTCCAATGATATCTATTGGGAAAAAGTGATATCAGAACTTTTAGGTGAAGTTGATGCTCCCTCCTGTTCTCTGCACCCTGAATTTAATTCCATATATAGCAGCAAAATTTGTTTACACAATAAAGCAGTGCCCAAGAACAGATACTAGTCACATTTGGTTGTTAAAACTTAATGGAGATAGAAGCAGTACTTGAAATTGTTGCATGACTGACCAGCATTCTTGGTTCAGTTATGCCAGTATGTACTTGAAATCACTTTTTGTAATTATTTTTGTATTCTCTAAAAGAGGTGAAGTTTTTGCATTAGTTGTTGTCCTATACAAGTTTATAATGTGAGCATTAAAGTAACCTGTTTCTCTTTTTTATTCTAGGTGAGAATTATGAAGATGATGACCTAGTAAATTCTGATAAGGTTATGAAGAAACCATGTCCAGTACAGATTGTTCTTGCACATGAAGATGACCATAACTTTGAGCTTGATGAAAAAGCCTTGGAACAGATTTTGCTGCAGGAACATTTACGAGATCTTAACATAGTAGTGGTATCCGTGGCAGGAGCTTTTCGTAAAGGGAAATCATTTCTACTGGACTTCATGCTTAGATATATGTATAACAAGGTGAATAGTGTCTTTTATAAATTGACCCCAATTTAAAACAGAACACTACCAACCAACACTGGGTTGTGTTTTTGTTTTGTTTTGGATTTTGTTTGTTTGTTTGTTTTTTGGGTTTTTTGTTTTTTTTTTGAGAAAACGCTCTGTCTTTAATTTTATAGAAATGTATTTCTTTATAAGACTTTCAGGCTAAAACGGAAATATAAATTCGGGCCCTTGTTTCTTATCTACATAATTCTTTTATGTACATACTACAGAGTGATGTATATGTTTGAGCCATCTGTGTACTAGGCATTATAGCTCTGACCCTGAGTATCAGAGTATACTATGAAATCACTGAAGTAATGTTCATCTTACTTCGTTTTCTTCATACTTCCTTTTCCTTGTTTGTTTTACAACTGTTAAAGAAATTTGTAATAATAGGCCGCTTTCTGTAGTTTACCGTTACTCTCAGAGATAAAGTCCAATTCTTTAGAGTGGCTTCCCTGATTGCTGAACTTCACCTCTTATTAGAGTTGTATGTCAGGCATAATATATATGTTTTCATTTCTTTGAGGGTGCAACAATATTTCTTTTAAGCCATGCCTTTCTGTCCTGATCTTTTCCTGACTTATGAGACTGTGTTACATATGTTAAATGATTTGTTACTTCAGTGGCTTAAATTTCTTAGTTCTGTCAGAATGGGGTTTTATTATTACTTGTATTTTAGAGGGAAGTTTACACAGCAAATTAGGCTACTATTTAACAGTTTTAATTTAGATTGTCATGTGATGTTTGTTATTTTCACAATATGTGAGTATTCTCATTTATATTGTTTCCAATATACCTAGCTTTCCATATCCCTCCTACTCCTTACCATCTCATCTTTGTTTTGGGTGCATCCTGATCATCTATCCTGTATAGTAGGTTGTTTAAGGAGGCATATCATGAGTAAATGATTTTTTTTAAATAATTGTAGCTATTATTTGATTGAAAAGTGATCAGTAGGTCACCTTCAAGTGTAAGTTCAGAAGTTATTTTAGGACAATAGTCTTATAACTTACTCCTCTGATCTCTTACTGGTTCAGTAGGTCTGTATTTTTTAGGATTTTAAATCTTGTTCTACATGTTTCTCACATTCTATTCTGAGTTTCTGAGGTGACCCTGAGGGTTCCATCTGGAAGGGTTGAGCTAGAAGTGGCCATGGTTTGTGTGGGCAGTTATAGCTCTCTGACCTGGTTTCTTTGAGTCTTTGTTCTGTTTTGCTCCGTACAAATAGAGACCAGTAGTTGTATCTTAGGTGGTTGCTCATAATTCTTTAAGAACCCAGTAGTTAACTCTGTAAATTAAAAGGTAGAACATATTCTTTATGGACTATGTATGTTTGCCAGTTGACTGAGTTGTAGCATAAGACTGTGTTCCTAACCCAGTAAAACAGTTTGGCAGAATGTTTTGCCCGTGTCTAGAAAGTCTCTGTACAGATGCCGCTTAGGTGCTTTGTTTTTTTGCACACACCCACCCACAGTTATGTTCCTTACTGTAAATGTTATATCTCTGTTACCTAGCACAATAATTCTCTCTCTTTCTCTGTCACACACACACACAGTGTTGCGTGCTTTACTTTCATTGTTATATCTCTATCACCTAGCTCAATAATTGACACTTTAGTGAATGTGAACATTGATTATCTGTTCTGCTCTATCTTCTTATACTTCTTTTTTTTTTAATCGTACCAATTAGTAGTTAGGTCCTTCCTCCTTACTGATGTTGACTTTCTATCTGAGAAAAATTAGGTTTATCACTTAAATCAGTATATTTTTCTAACAGTTGAAAGTTTGAGAGGATGAGAGTTTTAAAGATCAACAAGGAGGAAATTCTGGAGGAGATAATTTAAGGGAAGTACTTTAGAAAGCTTTTTTTTTTACATTAAGAAGCCATTTGAAGACCTTAGAAATAGTAAATTAATGGAGTTACATAATTTATAAAAGATCAATGAGGGAGCTTACCCTTAGCAGTCCTGTATAAGTCTGGAACTGGGTGTGCTTTGGCTTGAGATAAGCAATAGAGTAAGCAACCCTAATAAGATTTTCCAGGAAGTTCTTTGGAATATTCTTTACTTACATAGACATCTTTTCAGCATGGTCAAGTATATTTGAATATCAGGAAAGTAGATCATACTCAATAACAACTTTTTTAGATATTTTGGAAGTTGAGAGAAATGTGATACTTTTAAGATTTTTCACTTTAGACTTCTTTTCCCAAGTTTTACATCTCTCTCTCTCTATCTATCTATCTACATACTTAATAACAATAAAGAATTCCTGTATTTTAAAGTCCTCCTGCTCCTTAAATTGACTAGTATATATTTTGTGTGTATCTTTGTCTTAGTTGTTCACTAAGAATAGATTAGATTGTAGGTGGGTGAGACACTAGAATGCTAGAAGCGGAAGGAAGCATAGATTTCTTGGTGAGGAACAACATAAATTTCATCAGAGATACCATTTCTTTATGTATCTCTGATCAGTTATTAGTGGCTGCCTAAAAGGAGGAGTTGTTGTGTGCCCTGGAGTTGGAACCGACTTATAGTCCAGTAGGTTTTCAGAAACAGTAGATCACATAGGAGGAAGTACGTGCATTTTTCTCCCATGAAAAAGCTAATGGATTTGAACTGTGTGCCTTTGCGTTTGCAGCTCAGCTTTTTACCACTAGACCACCAGAGTCCCCCTAAAAGGGAGCAGTAGCCCACATGTGTCATCCATTTGTAATCTCCAAACTAATAGATAAACACACAGAGATCAGTAACTAAGATTTTTTTTAATATTTTAACCACATCTTTACAAATTGCAGGGGAAATCCCAAAATTTAAAACTTGTTTTCTTGTGAAGGAAATAGTTTTTTGTGTAGTTGATTTTTATTAAGCCACTACTTTGAGAACACTGTTAGGTTGTTTTTACTTGATCTGGTTGGGAAGAAATAAAGTTTTATAAAAATTGTTTTCCTACAATAAAATTTCTTCATATTGTTTAGAATTAAGCACTTATTATAATTAAACTTAATAGGTAATATAGGACATAAGAGTGTCACTAAAGTTGATGACTTTTATAAATTCAATATACAAGAAGCATTGTTAACTGTGAAACTTACCACTTAAACATTCCTCACAAACATCCATTATGTATGAAGTGTTTACCAGATAGTCACGTTTGTTGACATACTCAACTATTTGTAAGAAAAGTATTTACCAGTAATGTTATTCTTATAAAGCTGTGAAATCAAGTAATTGTGCCATTTATGTGAGATAAGGTCTGTTATTCAGGTTTTCTTTTAAATCACCATATTTTTCGTTGTGTAAAAATTGTGAATTATACATAGAGGTGACAATATACTTGGTAATGAGAGACAGAATTGGTGGTGGAATTGGAAAGGAAATTGTCCTCTGAAACACCCCTCCTACCCATCTTTCTCTCTCTGACTCTTTCTCTCATACATTCAAGTCGTTTGTGTCCACCTTTTTTTTAAACCTTAGTCATTAAGGGATATAGTTCACATAAATGATCTTATAGTGAAATTTACATGCTGAAAAATATACACATTAAATGGATGCTCTGATGAAATATGTATATTCACCCATGTAATCACTGCCTATTTGTACATAATACCGTTACTCAAAAGATGATCACTATACTTACCTTTTTTTTTTTTACTTTACATTGTATGGAATCTTACATATTTACATGTTTGACTTTTTAATATAATGTGATATGTATGGCTTTTTTACTTTACATGTATGGAATCTTCTAGATATCTGTGAGATAACTCACATTTTTTGCATGGTAATAGTGGCTTTGTTAGTTTAATATTATAGTAATATGCCATATTTTGTTTGCCAGTGTTTGGATTTTGCCTTTTGTAATTTTCAGTCAGATAATCTTGTGAAATATAGATTGCCAAAGTAAAGTAAATTGTGTGCATGATAGATATTGCTCGAGAAATTCCAATCCACATGGTTACATTTGGCTATTGTAAAAGTACTTCCAATTATAAAATTCTTTTTAGAGGAGTAAAGTCTTTTATATATGGGAATTTTTTTTTAATTGGATGAAAGGTTACAAATCATATTTCATTTTCAGTCATTCAGAGACATTTTAAAACCTTAAGTACAGTGTCTGAGAAGTCAGAAGTTAATTTATAGAATTGTACAATAAGCTTTACACAACAATACTTTCAATATATTGAACACTAAGAAATGATGAGAATTGTTGTTACTGAACTAGAGTTCTTAATTCTATTCTCAGTTGCTTTATATTTATGTTTTTTTCCTATATATTCCTCAAGTTAAATTATCAAGAATTTTAATCACATATAGAAGTAGACAGTTTTGTAATGAACACATACATCCTTGTTTTTAGCGTTCATCAGTCCAATTTCTTACATATTTTAATTCACACACTGCCTTTTGGAAGCAGGAGTGGCATCCACTTCCATAATAGCTTGCCTCCGGAAACCCTATGGACCTGGAGAGAGGATGAAAGACACACAAGTGCTGAGGACTTTCCTTCATAGGGTCGCTATGAGTCACCTGTGACTCGACAGCCCTTAACTACAACAACAACAACCTTTTGTGTAGTTTTGAGTTACATCGTAGATATCATATTTTATTTATAAACATTTTGATCTGTATCTCCTACACTTTTCTGTGTCTGGTTTGCTGAAAACAACTGGCTGTTGGTTATATTCCATTTCCAAATCTGAATTTGCTGATTATATCTCATTAGTGTAGTTTCATAAAATAGTAGTTGACTGTAGAAGCGTGATAAAACTCAGATTTTACTTTTTTGAGAGTGTTGTGTGTAGGTGATGCAAGAACATTTCATAGATGATGTTATACTCTTCTGCTACAAAGCATATTAACTTTGAAAGGAACAGATTTTAATTTGGAATCCACGTGCTTTGATTACTAGAATTCTCTTAGCACTTCATTACCTTACTAGTATACCTATGTACTCAGTGTTGTTGAATACAAT